ATTTCAGAAATCTTTTCACGACTAGGTACGAATTCAACAGTCGCGCGATCTTATCAGTTGTCAGAGGCTGTCGTTATCAAATTATTCAATCAAACGTAAAAGGACTTGAGATTTGTGATTATCATAAAAGCATGCCAGTGATTTTACGAGAATATCCGAAATTCAGTTGATGTCAGAGACTTAGAGAGGATTTAACGCAATTTCAAGTGTGGGTAGTGTGAAATCGCAAAAAAACGACTTACTGCCTTATATATTTTACTAAAATCATTTATATTACCCCCCCCCCCCCTTATCAAATAATACTTATTATATATATTTATATATTGATTTTTATAGAATCACATAATCACAATATATATATATATATGATAGAAATATATAGAGAGACGCTCTAGACATTGAAATCGATAAAGGATGTGAATTTATAAGAGAAATAATCACCTGGAATCACACTATTGAATTGAGACTCACCCATTATTAACTACCAGAGAGTCAATAAAGACGCCTCAGCAAGATGCGACTAACGCGGAGAAGAAACAAAAAAATAACATACTATCAAATCAGAGCATCGATTTCATCAAGAAGACACGAATGCACAGTCACTCCTTTTTTATCAAAAAAATAAACACAATGCAATAACTGGGGTCGATCATGGCGGCCATACGATACTCTTTCCCTCGTGCATGTAGAGCTGGTCTCACAATCTCAGATGGTTTAGGAGTCAATAGTTGATGCTGTTAACTCAACAGCGGTTTCATCAGATCTACGCCAGCCTCTGTTGCCGAACGAGAGCTCAAGGTACTTGCCGATTTCAGAATCTGGCTTGAATATATGCTTCTCGTATAACCAGCGACAATATCCTCTGTCGTGCTTATGCACTGAGTAGATGCACGCTCCGCGGTGTTTACCAAAAGTAAGAAGTGTACTCATAGGAGGATATGTATATATAGTATCAAAGATAATAAATCATCGAACTAATTCAACTAGGATAATTACTGCTCGCCATCAGGCAAGCTTACAATACGTCTAAGTATGCTT